AAGTCGTTCGTCTGTTCTGCTACAAAAAAAAACATATCTTAGCTCAGCTCTATATAACCTATAATCCAACTTTTCACGAAATACTTTCAATTCTGATTGGTATCTCATTGAATTTGATCTGGATTCTTTTTTATTTTCTGTTCCTTTCAACTACTTTCGACTCAATTAATATCAATAAATTCGAATATTACATATCACATACAGTTCAGTGATACATAATATGTCTTAAAATTCTCTGTCTAGAAGATCTCGATAGCCCAATGATTAGCGCATTAGGTCTACCGTGCGAAGTTAAGCAACTTTAGCAAAGTCATAGGATGGATGATTTAAAATTTATTAAGGTCAGGGTGGCTAATTCCGGCATACTTTATTTAAACCTAAATTTGATCAAGAATATTAAAAAATCTTGTCAATACCAGCCAAATGTGAAATAAGTATCAAAATTGAACTTTTCATAACTTCTTATTTACGCTATAAGTCTTCTTAATCACTAATAAGTTTTCAAGTTAAGCGTTATTTTTTAAAACCTTTACAATAGACGGTTTTTCCCGCTACTCGGGGTAAATCCGTCATGTAGCGGTAATTTTATGAAGTTCTAAGAAATTTTAAAAATACTCTTAAGTAATACATGTATTGATAAATGACAGGCAATAATATGTCTTACACTATAAATATAAGGTCTAGAACCCATTTTAAACGTTAAAATATTTTTTGGGGGCAATTCCGGCGTACTGATAAAATCCAGTAAACCTAATTTATGAGGTGTACTTAGTAAAGGAAATAAAACAAACATTCAATTTTAGAACATTTATGTAATAAATCAACAATTTTAAGCATTTTGTTACCAAATTAATAAACAAAAAATAATCGTTCATACAAAATTAAAACAAATCACAAATTAAAAGATGGTAAGTACTATAGAAAACAAAGAATTGTCTTCTTACAGGAAATAAGTACCATATACGTTTTAACCATTAAAACTATTAATAATATTTCTTTTTGTAGTCTTTGAATCAGTCTTATTTTTTTAAAAGCAACATGCTTAAATTGTATAAATTATTTTTCATAAAGAAAAATAATTCAAATAAAAAGTTAACGTAAAAAAGTGGTAACATTGCAAATCAACCAACCGTCGTTAGCAACCGAAGATATTTTTTCGACTTTTGCACAAAGAAAACCCTAATTACGATGGAAAATTAATTAAAATAAACATTATCCTCTTCATTTGACAAAACAAAAGTGTTTAAAAATTGCTTTGCATCGGATAGATTGATTTTTTTTACGATAGATGTAACAGGTACATCATCACGGTCTATTATTCGTGCCATGTTAAACATTAGTTGGGGTTTTTTAATAGTTTTATAAAATCTAACCAACTAATAAACCGTTTCGTCTATAATATTGATTTTTTCAATAATGCCAACATAGTATATCCAATTATTTCTATTGTAATATCGAACTAATACTTGGTCATTGATAGAATATACAGTGCTGGTTGATTTAAGTTCATCTTTAATTCTTCAATTACATCTTAATTTATAATGTTCAGTAGGAACATGTTTCGCGTCTTGTAATATTTCTTTGTTTTCCGAGTCTTCAATGTCACTTTCGCAGTCCAAACTTACATCAGCTATATCGGAGTCACTATGATAACTATAGGTTTCTGATACACTGGTTGTTGAGCTTGATGGTGAAGGAACCTTCGTTTTAGTACAAGTCTTTTTAGGTGGGTTAGGATTAGGGTCTTGATTTTCTTTAATAATACTTTTTTTGCCTTTTCCTTTACCTTTGTATGTTGCTGTTTCACCTACCTTTTTAGCAGAGATTTTAAACGATTTAGCACTGGTATTATTTGCTTTTCTTGTACTTGTACTGTTTATTCCCGAAGGCCCAGGTAATGTCAGGAAATCAATGTCACTGGATGTGGTTGCGCTTTTAATAACGACATTAGATAAAATTTGCACTTTTGAAGGTGTAGAATTACATTTTTGCAAACAACGAGGGATCTCTTCAGAACTTCTGGCAGCAAAAGGTAACAACTGCGAGTCGTTCTTAGACAAATTACTTAACCGAGCAACATCAACATTGTGTGCCGTTGACGATGTGTCTTTTGCTTTTGCCTTTCCATTCTTATTTTTTTTTGCTAGTTCATCTTTTTTAAATTGAATAACGTCATCGTGGGTTATAACCTCGGCACCGAGGGCCACTTTTCGTCTCTTTGTTTTTGGAGAGTTGTTACTGCCTTTAATTTTTTGTAAAAGTAGTTCTTCAAAGGAGGTAAACTCGACATTTCTAGTTCGATTATCACCAGCTATCATATCGTTTTTCCGGACAAAATTCATTATCTTACTAAGATACGTTAGTGTAATGTAAGACAACGTTGGTGGTTCCTGTTTTGTATGTGCTAATGGATTGGAAATGCTTTCTTGCCAACGCTTTAGCTTTAAGCAGTCGAAAACGTGTTGGTTGATCTCATTGCGATTAATTGGGAAAATCCCTGTTTTTCTAAATCCGTTACGCAGTACTTGGGGATTTAGTTGTGCCCATACGACTCCAATTAATCTTGAAAACTCACTTTTTGGCAAAGGGGTACCCACATGAAGTCTCTGCCATTGTACTAATTTCAGATCCCAGTGATCCTTGAAGGACTTCATTACTGAAACATCTAATGGTTGTAATAGATTGCTAGTGTGAGCTGGTAATTTTATTATAGTTACATTAGCTTTTCGTGCTTCTTCTATAATATTCAACCCTAAATGTGTAGCGTGGCCATCGTAAATTAAAAGGACTGGACGTTTGTCCCCAATCATTTTCAAAAAAGTTTTCTTAAAGTAAGCTTCGAAAACATCCGACTCCATCCATCCGTTTTTTGTCGCAGCATATGTAGTATCTGGATATGCTTCAGGTGAAGTCCAAGTGTCCCAAACATTCTTCCCTTTAAAAATGATTAGTGGTGGCGCTTTTTGCCCAGCCGCGCTTGCACATAGAAGAACCGTGGTGTTGTCTTTTCCAGGAGTGGCAATAACTCTAATTGCCGCGTGACCTTTAACTCCTACGATCTTAGTTTTTAAAGGGTCTTTGCAAAAACTAGTTTCGTCCATGTTCCAAATAGCATATGGCTTCTGCTTTAAATTTAATTCTTCTAGTTTTTGTTCTAATAAGTCGAAATAAGGAAAAACCACAAAGGGATCTAAGGCAGTTTTTCGAGCATTTTCCATAGCCTGTGGTTTTTTTATTGACAAATTGTGTCGTTTAGCAAACGATACAAACCAATCCTTTCCTGGTACCATATTTTTAAAAGATGTCGAAATTTTATTTTTTTTCACATATTCTCCAACCATTTCTGACACTTCTTGTCTAGTTACGCCAAATCCATGTTTCTCCATAGTATGGATACATGATGCTAACTTAGTTTCAATATCCAAAGGCAACGCAGTTCTCCTCCCAATAAGATTTGACTTTCTCTTTCTGTTTACATGATCCATAATAGTCATTCTTGGTATTTTGTAAAGTTGTGAAGCTTTGTACCCACTTAATGTACCATTACGTACTGCTAATACGGCTTCACGCAAATCATTTTTGTCATAAGAACCTTTATTGGTTTTCCTTTTGTAATTGCGCATTTTATATGGTGATATCAGTTAATCTGAAATAAATGATACATTCGTTTACTCGAAAAATACACCAAATTATTATTTTTTATAAGTGAAACATTATATTGTAGTACAACTCAATAGCTCCAGTAGCTTGTTTTGTTTCATTAAAAATCCTGGGATAGAAAATGTTTATAATATCTGAAATCGGGAAAATCCGGCATATGACGAAATTGCCCCATCATTTATGGCCGGAATTGGCCACTTCACAATTTGGAGGTTACAAATGTTTCAGATACGATTAGTAACTGATGAAACGTTTTCTTTGCAAAATAATAATGAACAATCGTTTAAGCGGGCTTTAATTAATACATGCAATACTCTTTTATTAGTGTAAATGGACAAATATTTTATTTACCTTCGACGAAATGTAACACCACTCACTCACTTTGCATTTTTAAAACACAACTGAACTTCTAATGAATGATGTTTGATTCATGTCTATGTCAACTAATGCCATCTATCCGATATAATTTGAATGACGATGTTATGCTGTTTTACCGACGTAATGTAACAAAAGCATGGGATTATTCCGGAAAGAGTAATTCGAAGCAGACGGTGATGCCCCCTAGACGGAATTAGCCACCTTGACCTTATCTCAAGTTTCTTCCGAATGCAAGCTGTTTTTATGACCGCTTCTATAGTTGTTAATCCACTATATACACATGAGGGTCACAGCGCGTTCAATTCATCCATAGAGAAAGTTTGTACCCCAGCAGTGGGGGTATTAATAGACAAATAATAGACATTAAGGTGATAAAAACAGCAATAATATTTTATTGAAGAAAATTTTGTAATAAGCGTTCATTAAAGAAGCAAATCACTGATCGAAATATAATGGTTAAATATCAGTTCAACAAAATGAATGTAGTATAATGTAACCTAGTGCAAGAGAATTGCTAGAAATCATTGAACTGCATTTATAATTATAAAAGTAACTAAGATACCAATTATAAAATCAAAATAACGATATTTTTTTGACCAAGGAATTTTATTAAAACAACCCCAATTTCAATAAATAATAGTCATAAGGAATTAAATACATACTTAAAATAGAGTGAATAGGTATAAATTTTTTATGCTTCACAGCTTTGGCAATACTTGCAAATTCAACTAGGTTGACTAATAAAAAGTGCCATGAAAAATTTATTAGTTCAGATCAACTGTACAAAATGGCGCAAATATTTGAATTTAGTTATCACTTATTTGGATCGACGGAGAATTCCGCCGTACATATTTTTGGGAGTGCAGATAAAAATTAACGACTGCCGTATTGGGTGGTCATTTGATGTCTGATGAATTTTAGCCGTTTTATTGTCACAAGACTCGTATCTCTAAAACGATAACTTCAGTGATTTTAAATAATTCGAGTTTTGATTTTTGGAGACCTTGGAAATCTGATTTTTCAACATATATTTGGTTCAATTTGAAACTGTTAATTATAGATAACCGCCAATTAAAAGAAACAGTATCTACACTAATTTATAAGTACTCTGCAGTGAATATAAATACAAACTAAACTTGTCTTTTTAGGTATGTTACCTTGATATTAATAAATTTAATCAAGTTTCCATAAACATACATCTAATTTATGTAAAAATTTATATCTAACAATGAAAAAAAAACATTTTTCTATTTTTAACACAATAAAGCAACATAAATGTTAAGTAGGTAATAAAGAATTATTATTATTATCTATATAAAATAATTTGATGTTTTAAAAATGTAATTCAATTTCAGTACTTTGTTCTACAACGTAGAATATAGCTATATAACAAGGCTTGATATTTTATTTTCGTTATTATAAAATGCACAATTTGGGATCTCTGCCTTTTCGCCAAAAATTATTTGGCCGATTATCACTTGGCTAACTAAACAACACAAACACTGAATAATCATTTGCCAACTTGTGATATAATTTTGTTTTAATTCTCAACTCCACCGTTACCAACTGTACATTTTATCAGTTTTTTCAAACTTTGAAGTAGTTATAGTCGGCATAATTATAGCGTATTAAATGTTGTATTAAGTTGCTTCTGGATTGCTCGTCATCACACCTAATTTTTCAGCTAATCTAATGTCACTCAACTGCACTTCAACAAAAGCGTTTCGCTTAATTGTTTGTCATGCTCTAACCTACGTTACTAATCTAATAGTGGTGGCCTAGTCAAATATTTGGCAAATTATTAGTAATAATAATAATATAATAATAAATTAGTGTTCCAAATGTTTTTGTCATTACAATAATTAGTTTGACAATAATTCTACCAAGAATTCATTATCATACAAAAATTTATTAGTTTTCATTGTGAAATAAAGGCGAAAGCTTGGTTGGCAATTGCTCATCGGCCAATCAATTTACGGCGAAAAGGCAGGATACCTAGAAAACATACATTTTCTTTACTCGTGTAAAGAGCTGACAATTTTATTTTTTATCATCATACTTGTCAACGGAAAGATGTCCTATAGAAAATAGTGTTTGAATTCTCTCCTGACTTCAATGTAATATATTTATTATTTATTTAAAAATAAAATGTAAGACAGATAGACACTCATCAACTTTTAATTTAACATAACAATGATACAATCAAAACGACATTACTTTTAAACACATGTATTTATAAGAATAAACTTTACATAATTTACCGAATATACCAATTACAACATAAATAACACCGATCACACAACCTATCAACACCAAAGTCAGTCGTCAAAAGAGGAATGACAAGTGACAGCTAGTCCCTTTATATTCTTCGGTCACGTAACGTCCAAGTCTATAGATATTCCCAACAACAGTGTTATTGATCAAAATACGATAAATGCATCTAAATCGAATATAACAAAATATTAATGTATTATAACCAAAGCAACTGAAATAATATCCTTATGCAATGAAATAAGTTCTCTAAACTAATGTGCGCAACGAATTACTATTTTTAAACGGTTTTATTTAGCTTACCCCTTTTGTTTCGTTCGTGGTGGGTCAACTTTAGTAATTGAAATTTCACCCTCTTTCCGTCAACTGATTGATCTGAAATTTGGTATACGCCTTTGATTCTGGTGACAAAACAATTATGTACATTCAATATTATTGTGAATCCAAAATGGCCGCCGCTACAAGATGGCGGACAACTTATTTTTTTTTTTAATCCCATCATTATAGGTATCAAATGAAAGGAATGTTAAGTATACATTGCATTGTCAGGATTTTATGTGAACATAGATACTCCACAAAATGAGTAGTTTATGGGTTACTTTATTTTGAAAATGTAACTATGTATACATATTGGCACCTATGACTGTATCCATTAATAATTTTTTTAGCTTTAGTACATTTATCTACAACATTTTTCTGTTTACAATAAAACCGTTTAACTTAAAAAGATTTTTTTTATTATTATTTGTTTTATTACGTTATTATTATCGTGGTAGGTGTGTACCATAAAAAGTCTGTTTTTCTAATATTTATAACGAGTAATTATAACGACACAATATTTTATCAAATTAATATTGGTATTATTCTTCATTGCCTATCATAATAAGCAAGCATAATCGTGATCTTGGTTTCCAAACTGCTTTCTGTTCAAATAAAAAAAAAATGTCAAAATAATTAATAATTTACATCATGTCTATTGTGCACAAAAAATCATAAGTAATTTGCTAAAGGTTATAATTATTTAAGTGAATTCTTTTTATTCTGATTTCTGCTATTAGTACATAAGATTAATCAGTTCTGCAATTCCATACTTTTTATTGCCGCTGTTACTTGGATTGCTTTTGTAATTAGTCAGTTTACCGTATTTCCAACTATTTATTATTAATTTGTAAGGAGGAAATAATTATTTCGTATGTTTAAAAGTATGTAACATCCAAAAAGATTAAATTATGAAGATATTCATATTAGTTATATTTTCAGGTTAGTGTAACTAAGTGTGAGTGTAACAGTATATTCTATAAATTATCTATCTCAATATAACTATTTTCGAGCTAGCTGCTTGTAGTTAGTGCCTCAATTCTAACTTTCTTTTTTTGTTTTAGTGGTACTCATTGAAGCACGTAATTTAGATCATGGAAATAAAACAATTCAGCACATGAAACTAATTAACGTAATGCAACAAGTATCTAACAAAAATAGAAACTTGAATGCCAGTAAATATGAACGGCATAATAGACCAAAAATTACATTCAGAAAAAATATGGAAGATTCCTATAAAAATAACAATGAATTGCAAAATAAATTTCAAACAAATATGGAAAACAACAGTAGACAGCGTTATAGTGAAAACTTACCAGCCCAAATAGAGAAAACATCTAATGATTTAACAAGCTTTCGTAGTTATGGTGGGAATATGGATGGTCAATATTTTGAATACAATAAGCCTATCAATAATATGTACCAGGGAATATTAAGACCTATGAATATCAACGACAATAGAGGAGACGTCAATTATGAAGGGGGCACTTTTGATAGAATATATGTAGGTCAAAATTATGGGTCAAATCATCAAGAATTACCAAACCAAGTAAAAGAAACAAATAACAATCTTATAAATGCCAAAACTGCAGATAAATATTATAAAGATAATAGACGTCGGGGAGATGAGCTGAGTTATACTCAGAATGAGAGGTACGATGAACGAAATGTTGAGCCAATGGAATATAAAATGAATGCCAATCAGCGAGAAGGCGAAGATAGAAATAATGCAGAGCAGCAAGAAAATAACACTAATAACGATGCAAATCAGCAACAAAGTGATGATACTAATAAAGGTGACAATACTAATAACCAGCAAGAAGGTGGTGGTACTAATAATGCAGGTCAACAAGAAAATGAAGATGGTAATGATGTAGATCAACAAGAAGGCGAAGATGAAAATGACACAGGTGAACAAGAAGGCGAAGATGAAAATGGTGCAGATGAACAAGAAGGCGAAGATGATAATGGTGCAGATAAACAAGAAGGCGAAGATGGTGATGGCGCAGATGAACAAGAAGGCGTAGATGATAATGGCGCGGATGAACAAGAAGGCGAAGATGGTAATGGCGCGGATGAACAAGAAGGTGAAGATGGAAATGGCGCGGATGAACAAGAAGGTGAAGATGGTAATGGCGCGGATGAACAAGAAGGCGAAGATGGAAATGGCACGGATGAACAAGAAGGTGAAGATGGTAATGGCGCGGATGAACAAGAAGGCAAAGATGGAAATGGCGCGGATGAACAAGAAGGCGAAGATGGTAATCAAACAGACGAGCAAGAAGGCGTAGATGGTAATGGCGCAGATGAACAAGAAGGCGAAGATGGTAAAGTAGCAGACGAACAAGAAGGTGAAGATGGTAATGGCGCAGATGAACAAGAAGGTGAAGATGGAAATGGCGCGGATGAACAAGAAGGCGAAGATGGAAATCAAACAGACGAGCAAGAAGGCGTAGATGGTAATGGTGCAGATGAACAAGAAGGCGAAGATGGTAACGTAGCAGACGAACAAGAAGGTGAAGATGGTAATGGCGCAGATGAACAAGAAGGTGAAGATGGTAATGGCGCAGATGAACAAGAAGGCGAAGATGGAAATGGCGCGGATGAAGGCGAAGATGGTAATCAAACTGATGAGAAAGAAGGCGCAGATGGTAATGGCGGAGATGAACAAGAAGGCGAAGATGGTAATGGAGCAGACAAACAAGAAGGCAAAGATGGTAATGATGCGGATAAACAAAAAGGCGGATATGGTAATCGAACAGACGAGCAAGAAGGCAAAGATGGTAATGGAGCAAAAATTGAAGAAGGTGATGATGAAATAAATTTAGATCAACAAGGAAGCAATGAAAATAATTATACAGCTCAACAGGATGGTAACAATTTAAATAGCACCGATGGGCAAGGATCAATTAATAGAACTACTACAGCATTAACCACAAATACGCCTTTTTCGCAAACTGCCGCAGCAAGAAAAGAAACTGTACTAGATACAGGTGAATGGTGGTATGTAACTTTCAGAGATATGCACAACCTCTTGGACCCCTTCCAAATAATAAATCACAGAAAGTTTGTAGACATTGAAGATCAACCTTTTTGTGATTGTCCACGGATTTATTGGCCTGTATGTGCCACAAATATGATTACGTATCTTAATATCTGTATCATGACATGTATTGGAAAAACATTAAAAAGGGTCGGCACTTGTATAAACTACTAAAAATCTACAGTGATATCTAACAAAAATAATGGTGAATCTTTATTTGCGCAGACCACGCTTACCAATTTCAATAACAACCAATCTTTACCCCGCATAATTATAATAGAACAACACGTATAGGTGAGTTTGATTAATCATAAATTATGTTACTGTGTTTCATTCTCGAGATTAGCATTATACCGGGAGTCCAAATATGACTGACACAGTCTAAAGTTTCGAGTTAGGGCGCGTTCACATATAACGTCCGTTTTACAGGTCCATTTAAACGTGTATGTTAGTGGCGTTTGTAGCTGTATAAGCGAGTTCACACATAATACAGTATTCCGGATCCAATAAAAAATTCCGATCCGACAAAATAAGCAGCAATCCGTTCAAACGTATGTGTTATTAGCGTATGTAGTTGTATGAGCCAGTTCACACATAATACAGTATTTCGTATCCAGTATACTGATCCGTTTATCGGAGCAAACCGCGCGAGGCTAGGCACATTGGTGCGCGGGGTGTGGGAGCTGCACACAGCCGCCATAATTGATATATCCAATAACGCTCGGGCTTCCTCAGGCGCCGATATTACCAATACAACACGACAACGTCCATCCTCGTAGAAAGTACGCGAACACTAAAGAACGAAAGTGCAGTAGTGTAAATGCTGTGTGAATACTATCTTCAGTAGCAACGGATCCGTTAAAAAGGATCCTGTAAAAACGGACGTTATACATATGTGAACGCGCTTTTAGGTTACATACAAATATTCATTTTATTTGACAAATATTTCAAAATAGAAAAAGTGTAAAAATGGAGTTATAATTTTAAATTTCTAAGTGTTGACAGCCCTATAACGCGCATGCGCTTTATCGATTGTGTACGTCTTATAACGGCCCGCGAAATACATTAATTTAATTTAATTATTTATCGATATCTTACGATTTACGATTTTGTACGCACAAAGGCACATTACATTTCACTCAAAACTTAAGCACAGTCTTCACTAAAATAACTTAACCACTCAAGACAAACAATTTACTATCTTATCAACAAAAGTTTGAATAAAAATGAACTAAAACAAAACAAAAATTGACAAAAAGGCGCTTCGTAGCGGTGCGTTGGCGGCGATCATCATCATCATCATCATCAATTCAGCCGAAAGACGCCCACTGCTGGGTATAGGCCTCCCCCAAAGATCTCCAAAGTGATCGGTCCTGCGCCTCCCACATCCAGCGGATTCCTGCGACCTTCACCAGATCATCTGTCCACCTTGTGGGGGGCCTCCGAACACTGCGTCTCCCGGTACGCGGTCGCCACTCCAGGACCTTATCGCCCCAATGGCCGTCAATCCAGCGAGTGATGTGCCCTGCCCACTGCCACTTGAGGTTCGCAATTCTTTAGGCTATGTCGGTGACTTTCGTTCTTCTGCGGATCATTTCTGATTCGATCACGCAAAGAATCTCCGAACATAGCCCTTTCCATTGTCTCTGAGCGACTTTGAGCTTCCTTATGAGGCCCATCGTAAGCGGCCACGTCTCAGTTCCGTATGACATCACTGACACAATTGAAGTATTGAAGACTTTCGTCTTCAGACACTGCGGTAGATGTTCTGAGAATACACTGCGTAACTTCCTGAACGCTGCCCAGCCGTGTTGGATCCGTCGATTTACCTCTCTCTGGAAGTTAGACTTACCTAATCGGACTATTTGTCCCAGGTAACAGCTTCCAGTGTAGAGCCTCCAACATTCACTGGAGTGGGTACGACATGGTAGTTTGACATTCATTTTGTCTTCCCCATGTTCATTTTAAGACCCACTTGCAGGGAAACTCCTCAGAGGTCTTCGAGCATTGTGCCTAGACCTTACATAGTCTCAGCAGATGCGTCATGTACTCGCTGTTTATATTGATGCCAAGTCCTCTCCAGTCCAAAAGCTTAAACACGTCCTCCAGTGCGGCAGTGAACAGTTTCGGCGATATAACATCACCCTGTTTCACTCCAGGCTGAAGTCGTATTGCTTTCGAGTTTTGGTCCTGGAGCCGAACTGACATGGTGGCGTGTTCATACAGTGACTGCAGCACTTTGATGTATCGATAGTTTATTTGGCACCTCTGGAGTGACCTAAGCATGGACAAGATCTCGACGGAGTCAAAGGCTTTCTCATAGTCCACAAACGCCTAGCACAGTGGCAGTGGCAGATTATACTCCTCTCCATTAAACCGGCTTGATCAAGAGGCTCGAAGTCGTCAAATCTACCGCATTTTCATTCAAATTTACCGCAATTTCATGAGGAAATATGTGTGTGTGCGTGCGCGCGCGCCCTTTGTGAGTGTTTATTCTTTATTATTGATGTAATTCTATGTTTTTATGTTTATTAGTATTTTATGTTATTAATTTATAAATGCCAATTTTATTATTTAATTTATTATAGATTAAAGGGGCAAGTGCAAAATTTTGTGTTTCACAAAGGCCGTTTTGATACGATAAACCTGAGCAACATTATCGTTTCTTCGTTTGCTTGACTTATTTGGCTGAAAGTTCAATGTCATGATGTAGTTTAAGTATTGCCATTAAAATGTACAACTTCCTTACATACAACAATTGGCACATTTCATAAATTTTATTCGTGGGAAACCTATATGGTTTGCAATACATAACCTTAAGCAAACTCCTTTGTCCCTTTCCAACTTCCAAAAACTTAGTTTTATAGGTCCACCCTACACTGAAATGCAGTAAGTAATTATAGATTGTGCTAGGGCTGAATAAATTAAATTGATTTGTTTTTTGTAGTAATATACCTAAGCATCTTAAATATCCAGATAAGTTTTCTAATTCTATTACTAACGTTTTCAATATGAGGGTGCCAAGATAAATTTTGGTTTAACAACACACCAAAATATTTAACAGATTCTTCTTTATCGATAGCCGCTACAATTAAAACTATGGTATTTATTGCATTTATGTATTTTTAATTTACGATCACCACTCGGTTGAGTTGTCTTATTAATTGTAAAGCATACGGTATTTGTTTTCAAAATCTTTAAAGATAAATTAGATTTTAACCATTGAAAGACCAAGTAAAGATCTCTATTTGTATTGTCAAATGCTTGTTCCCATGTTTTCCCTTTAAAAATTATCGCAGTGTCATCTGCATACGTTATATATTACTTGTTCTCCCTCAATATTAAAATGAGTAAGTTCATTGATATAATTGAGAAATAGAGTAGGACCTAGGACACTCCCTTGTGGGACCCTATAAAATACCTCCAGATCTTGACTTACATATTCACCTACACGAACCATCTGTTTTCTACCTATCAAGTTACTTCTAAATAAATCCAAAGGTGCTCCTAATGCTTTCAAGCTTCTGTAAAAGGATGGGAAGAGAGATATCTAAAAGAAGTCATTCTTGCTGTTTATGTCATAAACAATCCAAGCACAAAATAAAATACGGGGAATAAATGGTCCTTTTGCATTATGTCCGAATTTATAGTTGCGTTAAAAATATAAATTGGTTCAGATATTAAAAAAATATTTTTTATTGTTTACTGTAAAATTTTGCCACCCCCTAAAAATTTTTAAATTTTTTTTCCCCACTACGCTACGCCACTGATAAAAAATATTATGTAATAGGCAGAAATATTATGTTGATATCATCATCTGCCATTTTACGTTCCCACTGCAGGGGCTCAGGCCTTCCTTATGGATGGTTAAGAGGGATGGGCCATGACCCTCCACGCTGGCCCAATGCGGATTGGAGGGTATTAACAACTGAAAAGGCAGCCGGTACCAATGTCTTAACGTGCCTTCCGAAGCACGGAGTAGCTCGAGATAATAATTTTTTGGTCACCCATTCCGTGAGCGACCCTTGCGAAAGTTGCTTAACGACAACGATCGCGGCCCGCAGCGCTTATCCACTACGCCACCGAGCTACACTATATTGATATCGTATATTACAACTAAATAAAATATAATGACAGTGAATCTTACCGCTGTCATTATTTGCTACTATTTATATTTTCAGGTAAGATGACCGTGTGTCACCGTGAACCCATTTTTAATTTAAAAATATTATTAATTGATACGACAAATTACTGTAGATATTAAATCTACATCCTATTTTAAAACAAAAAAAAGCACCTTAACCTGATTTTACATGATATTTTACCATGGAATAAAATAAAATAAAGATATAGTCTCGTATATATATGGATACAATTTGCTTATAATTTGAACCATAATGTTATAGGGGATAAGGTAAACTAATATTAATTACCTAATTTACCTTGAAGTACATCCGATATTTGTGTCGAATCCGAAGATGATAATCTACCTCGTCGTCCTTTTAACATCTTTATTTCTAATTTCTTGATTTTCTATTTTATGTATATAACTTCTAGAATCACTTTCATCTCGTTTCCTTTAGGTATTTTTAAAAATTCAAATGATAATTTAATAAAAATAAAATAAATGCGCATGGGACTACAAGTGTATAATGCTAATCTCGAGAACGAAACCCAGAAGTATAATTTAACATAGAATTCTTATTTGTCCATTAAACACTTTTTTCAGGGTAGGGTAACTGGTAAAATTCGTAAATGTCAGATGTTTTATAAATATTCCTTGAGATCTGCAGAATTTAAATATGTACCTATATATAACTCAAACCACTAGACGGATCGGGCTGAAATTTGGCGTGCAGGTAGATGTTATGACGTAGGCATCCGCTAAGAACGGATTTTGATCACTTCTACCCCTAAGGGGATAAAATAGGGGATGGAAGTTCGTATGAAACTTTGTCAATTTTAAACCGATCGGGCTCAGACTTAGCATGCAAAAAGCTACTATGACGTAGGTATCCCTTAAGAAAAGATATTGATCATTTTTACCCCCAAGAGGTTAAAATAGGGGATGAAAGTTTGTATGAGACGTTGTCAATTTTAAACCAATCGGGCTGAGATTGCATGCATTCCCTAAGAAAGGGTTTTGATTATTCTACCTTTTAGGGAATAAAATAGGGGATGAAACTTAATTTCAGGTATTTAACATGATATAATGAATAAATATTCGTTAGAAATGGTACTCAAAGTAACTTTACCACGCGGATGAAGTCGCGGGCAAAAGCTAGTGGATCTATACATGCGTAGAGCATTATTTTTATCAATCTTTAATAGCAGAAATAGGTACTGGATGATTATGACATAAAAAGAACAAAACTTTCTTTACTATTTAATTAAACATAATATTAACCAACTTTAAAATCGAAACGGAGCGTTTCGTATGTATTTTTATGTTATCATCATCACCAGCCAATTAATGTACATAAATTGCTAGGCTTTAGGCTTTAGGATGGAACCGACTCAACTCGAATAAGGAAAATGGGCCATTTGGCTGCAGATGCAGCCGAGACCTACGACTTAAGGTGCTTTCCGGAACACGAATCAGTACGAGTTAATAAATTTTTGGTCGCTGATCCTAAGGCCCTTAAAACTCGTATCGCAGATCGAACACCGTCAATAAAAATCAATCACTTTTAATATATATTTAAATATTGACATTCATTTCAACTAACAATTGTTTTTGAGGAATGGGATATCATCAGTTTATCTTTACAAAGGGATATTGAAGTGGTCGTACAAACGATTATAAGATCACTTTAGCATTATATACCTATCCTTTTTGGGTCAACATAGAGGACTTCTTCCTTGAGGTCTTTGACCGTCTATTTTTCCCGTTATTTAAGTTCTTTCGAAATTATTATCGAGGTGTGCCCAAAGAATTCGAAACTTCTTCGTAGACAATCACATTTTAATCTTTACTTCGGCCAGAACAGATTCTGTCTAAAGAATTCCGAGCATATGTCTCTCTCTCTCCAATACCACATCTCAAAAAAAATTAAGCTTTAAATAGCTTATTTTCCTAACATTCAAGTGTCCTCCTCTCTACCAACTACACGGTCAACGACCGTGTAGTTGGTAGAGTACACGGTCGGGATAAAAATTCTTAGGTTACGACAGTAGTACCTATATATAACGAAGTCAAAACGAAAACTATCACACTTAATTGGTTTTACAAGTTACAAACTAAGAATTGTGTTTACTCGAAAATTTCGAATAACTTCATTGAAAATAACTCTTTTTTCGCAACTCACACTTGGCCAGTTTTTCCACTTTTGATTTGCAGTATAGAAAGTCGGAAAATTACGTAAAAATAAAAGTACTTAATTAGCAAAAATCATTAAAACACTAATTACATTGGATCGTAATATTTATAAGAAGTACAAATTATATACCACTGTTACTGACGTTGTAATTATAACTCTGATTTCAAATGTTTTTAAATTTAAGAGGTAAGTTTGATGATTTGAATAAATTTTACAGACTATGTAGGGGAAGTCTGGGAGACTTGATAAGGTAGGAGACATGCTCCATAGCACATAATCTGCTTAAAATTTGCACTTTCAAATTTACTACAGGTCGTTAGATGTTATGTTCTTTTCAGACATTATTTGAATATACATATCAGAGCACATATCAAACTAAAAAATCAATCCCAAACACGCGAATTTTAAACGGATTTATTTGTCAGGATAATGTCTGTCACCCGATCAATTCTCCCGAATTTCCGCTATAACTATCACCAACGTGGAAGAAACGGTAATGATATCTTTGTCACGCTTGTTGACCTGTTCTTTCCGAAATTATTTTATTTTGTAATATATGTAAACCAAAGTTTTATCTCTGTTTATAGGACTTATTGTTCTAATCATACCGATATGTTACATCTACTGCGACGTGGTTTGGTTCTATAGACCTCTGTATTTTCATAATTTCTTCACCAACAAGACTCAAGATGTCGTGAATCTCCGAGACTTTAATGTAACAAAAGGATGCGACGAATGCCCCAAGGTGTATCTTCCCGTTTGTGCTGAAAATAATGTTACTTATACAAATGAATGCTATTTAAAATGCGCAAATTTGAAAAATATATTGAATAACGATACTCAATTTGTTACGAAAAAACTGAGATTGGGCAGATGCGAAGTCTTCCCGGAATAATTTCACCTTTAGCCCTCTTACCTTTCTACATTAAGAAAATGATATAACATGAACGATATAAAAACGGCTTGTTCCTCTTTCTTCTCCTCCCTTTCTCATATAAATGTTACATATTTGTTGGATAAAGATTGTTTGTAGAACTTGGCTTATTAAATTGTAGAACTTGGCTTATTAAATATATAAAATCATTAATAACTTTTTTGCTTATCATATAATATTTATTAATCAGAACTATTATATTGTATTGTTACACTAACAGTACAGTATCGTAATCATCAAGTACCTATTTCATCTATATTAAAGATTGATAACTGTTGTGATAGGTTATGTATTATCTTTCCACAGACCAGCTGAACTTCTCATTTTACTGGAAGTGAGGACTTTATAATGAAATGCTAATTAAAATGAATTAAATAATATTATAATACTACATATGTTTATAAGTCGGTTACAGATCTATAACTTTTTTGCTACTAATCACAAAATTAAAGAATATACTAAAAGTCGAAAAGTATATAAAAAGAGCATGTAATAAAAACTTCGAAAATATGCCAACTGAAATAAATGTTTGTTTAATTCCATTGAGTCTTGTATTATGGTACTTTTCTTGTCATATTAAATTTCACCTTTTTGGACTTTATATATAACGGCGGGTAGTCCGAAGGGGCTATTGCGAAGCCCAAATAGATAGTCCATATCGGAGGACTACCTTTAAAATAACACTACAGGCGTGTATACCACCATGGATACCACATGATTTGGACATAATCGAGTAACTAGCAATTAAAATAAAAGAAACTAAATCAAACGATCTTCGTAATGATGATGCGACATATATTTTCAACGTAAGTCTTGTACTTCTTACTATAAAATAGCACTAAGCGTTGAGCTAAATACACTGTTATAAGGAATTACCACTAAACATTGTGTCACATCATATTGATTGAAAAAATGGACTGTCTTTAATATTATATATTTAAAAAATAAAGTAAAAACAAGGAAAATATAAAGCGGTATTTAAATATACAACAAAGCAGATCATGACGTACAAACACAATATGATTTTGAGAGTTATCCAAAACGTCAATAATAAATATAATCAAAATTTAACATACAGTTTTATAAAAAAGGGGGCATGGCCAGCTAATTGCTAACAGTACCCATAAAGAATTAGGGTCAGTGCTAACAGAAGATGCATCGGGTCTCGCTCGTCGATCGTGGAAAGTTCTGACTTTGATATGACGTTCAACCTTGCACACTGGAAGGATGATCGATAACGTACTAACGTATACTTCCGTGAGACGCTTGTCAGATCTCCCGTCAGATTTACATCAAATCTAAAGCCACTAATTTCGTCTAAAGGTGGTCGTCGACTGTCTCCGCACGCACGCACCGGCCCCATGACACGACACACATTCTCTGTATCCGCATTTTTGATGCTTCTACGAAAAATCCGTTTTTCAGTGTTGAAATCGGAAATATTTTGATAATTATGATATAGTAAAATCTGTTTCGTGTCTTGCTGGTGCATGGGTGCGGACAATATGTACATTCCCCTTAATACTTCCACTAATTTTGATATGTAAATTCTACTAAAGATATCCAATTTCTATAATTGGTAATAATATCAGTATCCCAAATCTAAAACAGAAAACATCGTTTGCAGCTCAGCGATTATGTTATATACATATATTCAATAAAAACCTTTTGTAAATTCATATCCAGGACTAATGTTCTCCAGCTGAAACATTGTCTCATTATAAGTTATTATCACAAAAACGAACACCTTGCACTATAAAAAAATATATATATTTATTAGCTTCCCGCCTGCAGATTCGCCCGTAAGGTCTTGTATCCTACTAATAAATTATTCCATCAAAAACTTAAGTGACCAAATACATAAGCCTCGCAATGCAATTCTTCTGTCATAAAAAGTTATGAAGTCAACGCAAACCAAATTTATTAATTCAGTACCTATCTATATTTCTGTGGGAGCAGCTATCCAACCTTGTCATATATATTGCATGAAATTTGTTACATTGGTAATTCTTAGTGTGGAGCTCTGGACCTGCTTTTTATCACCAAATGGTTACCTAGGGATAGAAATATACCACTTTTTCTCGTACGAAATTTATTTAAATATTTTAATCGATGTAGTTACTTATTGAGTAGCTTAATGGCGTTGTAGATAAGCGCCGAGGCCCGATATCGTTGTTGTTAAGCAACTTTCGATATGGTCGGTCACGGGATGGACCACCGAAAAAAAATATCTCGAGCTATTCCGTGCTTTGGAAGACACGTTAATCCGTTGGTCCCGGCTGCATATAAAGCCGTTAATACTAATAGCCCCCAATCCGCATTGGGCCAGCGTGAAGGGTCATGGACCATTCTCCTTAAACTTCCATTAGGAAGGCCTGAGCCCCTGCAGTGGGGCGTAAAAGGGCTGATGATGAGTTACTTATTACTCTCTATATCAGGGTTTGCAAGGTTACATGAAAAAAGAAGCGTGAAAGTAATCAAATTACAAAAAAAACACCTACCTGGTAATTATATCTTAGTAAATTAATCTACCGACAATTTAAATAAACTCAAGTAAATCCATGGTACCACACCAATCCATGATCGCTACCAAAAAATGCAATGAAACTGAAACTATTTTTGTATATCTTCCGGGTAGTAAATTTATCAGCAACTAGATTCGTCTGATAAATTTCAGAGACTTTATCTGACAGATATTTTTGTCCGAGATTTGTGAAACCAAAATTTGCAATTTATCTGGAAGATAAGTTTCTGATATGCTATCAGGGACTTTATCAACCGGTGATGAAACTGGCTCTTCGCCACATAAATAAAAAGTCTGCGTCGACTGTCTCAGCACGCACGCACGCACCGGCCGTACGACACACAACGATTTGGACGGGTTTTTAGGTGTCTATTTTTTAATTTGAATATGACTTTTGTCACTAATTGTTTTATTGCCACTAGTACCTATCTCTTGTATCTTGTGTGTTTTACACATTATTTTAAAAGATATCTTTTCTCGCTAAATTATCCCTTAATTTTATTAATACTATAGTCTACGCTCCTGAGTCGATAACAAGGATATTCGCCTAATGAAAAAACCGTTAATGGTTCCGGTAAGATGAGACGTATTGTTGACTGACTACTGTTAAAGTCTTATTTAATAAAATTCATTCATTAACTCAAAACATTTTTCTTCAATCGCAGTAAGTTTTTCAAATAGCGTATGTTAATCTTACTTTTTAAATCCGCTAGCTGTAAATTTTATTGCAATTAAATTTTTTAACAATATGATTTTATACGTAGACAGCTGTATAATAACCCTATCTCATACCGATATTGTTTTTTTTTCAGTCTTCGTGTTTACTTTTCTACATTATTGAACACTAATAAAGACTTATTTTCATTAATTTCAATAACGGAAGAAGATTCATACACAACATGAATGCATTAGTATGAAACTATGTCAATGCGATTAACAGCTACGTTCCATGTTTCATCCTTATATAGTAACATCGCCTGTATTAAATAGTAAAAGAGTTCGAAACACGAAACAACATATGTAACAACAAATCTCTTAAAACATGCCATCGCTACAAAACGGAACATTTCTGTCAAATAAATGGAACATTCCTGTTGTTACCTATTCTGTCTCAAGCGAACCTTTGTATAGTACTCTAACCCCAAATGGATCGTTCTAAATTGTTAAGTTTTCATGCTTACTTGTTTCACACAGGGTTCATTTTGCAGGTCAAAATTTCCAGAACGGAAGCGGGCAAACCAATAACGGGTGGTGCGTTCGTTTCTAGTGTTCGCTCCGTAAACGTCGTTGTTGTTGCGTGCCGCTTGTGCCGTTTTTGCCACTCCATAATAATTCGAATTTTTAACTTATCCAAGATGTCGAAAAATGTTCGAATGCGTTGAAAACAAAACACTAACTATTAAATAAATGACGATTTTAGAAAAAAGAATTCCATGTTTTTAAAATAAAATCTTTATCTGGATCTGCATCTTAATCTATTTTCTTTTTGGCTTGACTTTCATATTTAATAGCAATCTATAAAGCTAAAATACTCGAGAACATCTTCAAGTGCCGTGTTAAAATGTAGATGCATAACCAATCGCGTTTAATAAACTGCTATTTTATCTACGTCAAAACACAAATGGAATTTCTCATTTCATACCAAACTATAATTTGTTATTAGACAACAAGGGATAATGCAGCATATTGCATGAAATAAAGCAATAAAGGATTACATTTCTGTAAGGAAATCGTTTGAAAAATGTACCTTTGCCGTGAGTAACTGACTTGAAATTAATGCAAAAGCCATTAGTATCCACAAAACTGGAAACAAGTAAAGTATTTTCTTATGTAATATATATATATCTCTGCGAGGATCAAAAGGGATTCTAGACAACCGCTCTGGATGGTTATTAAAATCAGACTGACTTATATTTGAATATTATTAGAGAAGCTCTGTGAAAAGACTGCTGACAAAGCTTAGCAGTTGCTATAAGACTAACTACTGAAAGGTATAACAGTACGTATGTTTGTAATAAGTTGTTGAAAAATTTGACGTGAGCAACCATATTTTATATTAATTTCAAAAATAATTATTATTATGTAAAAAAGATATTACTCATAAAACGAAGTTTGCAATGATATGTGAACCATAAGGTCCATAAATTCCAGAAAACTGATTTGTAAAGCCTTAGTAAGATATTATTACTCAAGATTGATGCACAAAAGTGTTAACACATCAAAAAAGTTTAATCGCAACAGGTTTTAATCTAATATAAGATAGCTTTATTAAAAACAACCATAAGCGTCCGACCTATTGTAAAACTAATAAATATTTTTATAAACAACACGAAGTCTCCTTATAAACTGTGACAAACACCGGCGATAATTCGTAAATCGTTTGTTAACACATAGATGTCTTCATTAATTTAATAAACTTATATTCCAATTAATGTAA